ACTTGCCTCTGCCTCCTGAGTGTTGGGATTAAACCACCACACCCAGCCTAAAGATTATTTTTAAAAAGCTAAGCATAGTGGTACATGCCTGTAATCCCAGCACTCAGGAGGCTGAGGCAGGAAGATTACCATGAGTTCAAGCAGCCAGGGGAACAGCAAGACCCTGTCCCGACCCGCAGGACAGTCAACGTGGGTTTCTGGAGGGAGGAGAGGGGACGGAAAGGGACAAGGGATGCGAAGAATGGAGACAAGACAGGCTTTCTGATCAAGTCTCATTTAATGAACATTCACACAAAGTTTTTATAGGGAGGAGAGGGGGAAGTTGGCAGGGAAAAATCCATTGAAGTAGGGCAACTTAATTAACAGAATGATTATCACAATAACACCACACCAATTGATCACAGAGTAAATTCCATAGTAACACCACAATTCTATATAGCAAGTTATAAATCAATTAAGAGGTTACACTTGTATGATTACAGAGTAACACCAAAGTTTCTTAGCAATTACATGAGAAATGAGGGAGTCTCTCAGGCGTTAAGTGCCCAGGTTAGAACAACATGTTTGTGAGAGGCTTTCAAGTATAGTCATCTGGTTAATCTCAAACCAGGCCAGCCTTGATGTCTGAAAAACAGCTTTGCCAGAAATCAGGTCTTGCTATTTCCTGGGGTAGGGGCCTATGGCTCCCGACAGATCCCCCTTTCTTTTATATTTTAAAAAGAAGGAAAATGAGCCAAAATAATCCCTTAGGGAACCGTGCCTGCCTTAGGTTGGAGAATTTCTACTGAAGCTTTAACCCGTCATGGGCTAAGACAGCAGCTTTGGCTGCCCGCCTGGCTTAGGCAGCTACCAGCAATTCTCTCTTACCCGTCATTGGCTATCCGGTTCAGCTCTCAAGGGGACGACTGAAACACGTCGTCATGTGGCCTTTCAGGCTCATAAGGCTCTTCTCGATCTTTAAGTGCAAGCCTGAGATAATGTATTTGAATTGGCTTTGCTGTAAGATCATCAATCTGACTTTTAATGAAGGTGTTAACTTTTACCCCAACCTGTGCTCTGTGTTGAGGTTAGGCAGAGCCTAAGTCCCCCTCTAAGCAAACAAAAGGACCCTAAGGGGACAAACAGTGTACAGCA